ATACGTTTTTGAGACTTATGTTAAATTCAATCGTATCCTGAGATCTGTTCATTTTACTTTAAGAATAACTTCACTATAAGTCTTCAAATCAGCGTATGTGACCTGGGGTTACTAAGTTATTATTTAGCTATTACCTTTAATATCAAAACATGCACATATGGGACTTATGAATGTGGATGCTTTGGTGAAATAAACTCGAATATTTTGTATTCAGGTTGGATAAACAGCGAATTGACAAACCAATGAGGTGTAAGCTAATATGGATTGAGGTTAGTGCCTTGCCATTTCTTATATTCCACATCCATGCTCTTCTCTATTCTATCTGTTCAGTCGTCTACACTATAGCTATTTACTACAGGCTCAATCAGCAAAATTCGACTTTCGCTGGAACCTTAATAACTTTATGAAAGCTCATTTCATCAGTCTCTTCTATATTTTGTGATGTTCCTAATTAACTCTTATGAAATGTGAAGCATTCTTAATGGATAAACTCCTAGTGCGCTGTCCTAGGGCTGATTAGCTGGATAATTCCAGTTCTTTAGCATTCTCATATGTGGCTTGAAGACCTTTGTATTTCCGATTACTTACATGACCAAATAGGAGGCGTATTACAGGAGATAAAAGATGTACAAGGAAGGCGATTTTGTGAGGACTTATGTCACCGACTCGAGACTTTATGAGGAGTACTAGATTGAGCATTAGCATGTGAGTTTGCCTTTAATGTCTTGAATAAATAAAGGCGTTTGCCAATAAGGCGAAAACTTAGAGACCATCAAAGAAAGCCGACGATGCCGTCAGAAGTTGCCAGAACTGAAATAAGGGAAACCTTTAGATCTTGAATTATGGTCCGGGTAAAATTAGTGTCGGTGAGTTTACTGCGTTCATACGTTTGCTCAAGAGTTAAATGTTTAGAGGCCGGGTATTGATAGGTGTGCTGGATAGTTCAACTTTCTCTTCGTCTTTTAGTCTTTCGGTCCAGCATAAGCATTTTAAATAATTCCTTTTTTACTCTTTAAATTCGATATGTTGCTTTGTATTTTGATTTTGATGCTATCTTCTATGCCTATCATAATCAGCAGAGCAGTCATTTTGGGAACATTCTATTTCGTGTTCGTCTTCTCTGATCACTAGGCCGACCTATTAGCTTCTAAAAGCATTTTCCTGTTCCATTATCCTTTGGTGAATTGGGCGACAAGTTTCCTAATTTAAGGGAGACTGCATTAACAGACTATTTTGTAGCATCCTGATATGGATAAAGGGTCAAACTTATCTCTGACAGTGGGTATAATCTATGAAAATGTTAAGGTTTCTCTAGCAACTATTTTGATGCCTCATTTTCTTAAACATTCTCCTATATTTTAAGAATTAAGACATAACACCAAAATTAGGAAACTATACAGCCTACCATACTCCCTATCTATTCCCAAATAATCGTTGTCCAAAACTTTATTAGGCTGATGTTATTTTCAACCAAACATTGAGGATAATTGTCATCAAGTAATAAATATTTAAGGCACTATAACGCTTTATTCCAATAGTTTCTATCTACCGGTTTAATTATTCTGGCAGTCATTGATTTTAAAATGTCAACCTTCGTGTTATAATTATTGATGGAGATAAAATTTAGAATTAACTCGGAGTATACTTGCTTCCTATAACTACCTCTATCCAACCTAGAAACTTTGATAATTATCAAAACTTCTAGCAATGGTTGGTCAATATTGCCCTATAATCTCATCCTAAATTTAATTTTACCTCCTTTTCAGCTTTAATTAATATGCTAGTTTAATCAGCAAAAGCCATTTTTCAATCAGATAAAGTTCGCTGTTAGTAAGTTACAGATTTGGCACCCAATCAAAAAGAAATTAAAGGCACGCTAAAGAGACGAGAGTTGTCAGTATGTAGTCAAGAAAAATCAAGAAAAATGCGAAAAGAGCTAGAAGCTAGAAGGGTTTAGTTATTTGTAAAAATAGTGCTTTGTTCGTTTTGTGCATTCATGTCTGTTTTCTTATGGATTCAGCTCCAAAAGTTTTCGGGTGTTTTCGAATTTAGATGGCATTATTAATAAGGCGGGGAAGCATATTTACATCTTTTCATAATCAAGCTTTCGCAATTATTTTGCCCATTACTGCTTTTAAGGGTTATGAGCATATTGCGTTCCAGTGTTGTGCATTGATATGTTGTAAGTTTTGTTGCCAAAGGTTATGGAACTTTTCAAACGAGTTTTGGAATGGAGATAATTGCTCGTTTTTACGATATTTACGGTGATTCTTCGAAGTGTTTATTTAGAGTTACGTTGCATTATTTTGCTACTTGGCAGTATATTATGATTAGTCTAGCTAATTTATTACTTTTTAACTTGACTTCCCGGGCAGTAACACTACGCCATTAATAATTTGCCATTTTTCAGATTTTTTGGTAGTTAAGGAAGGTGAAAAGTTGTGCTAAGATGCTAATAGGAAGCCATTATATGTCGGCTTTACTAGAAATTTTCTCTTCATCTGTAGTTGCAAGACGAAGGTTGGCACTGCAAAATCAATGCTTACTAGGCGAATGAGTCTATTTGATTTTAATAATCGCCAAACTTCGTTTACTCAGAATATTAGAATTACCTTATCATGAGAATATGGAACTTAATAAGATATAATCTAGTTTAGTTGAAAAAAATACACAAAAAATCCCACTTCCTTATCCCCTCGACTAAGTCAAGATAACTTTCTTAAGTTGCGGCATATGTCTGGTAGGTTGATTGGCAAATTCTATTGTCGGCCAGGCAAGGGCACGATAAGAAATCTGGGAATGAGAGTTTAGACATATTCGGAGTATAGAAAGGAAATACAATTTGGAAAAATGTAATGTATTCGTCGAGCAGTCGTTCGATTGCTTCACCCTGGAATTGTTGCCAAACACGTTCAATTTTAATATTTGCAATAAGTCGGTTTTGAGACTACAGCTTTTTCTCAGATTTATTTAAGACATATTATACAAAAAGAATTATGAAGGGGGATATTGTGGTGGATTCGATAGGTCTTGCAGATGGGCTTTTGACTAGATTGAGAGTTAAGTAGAACTGTAGCGATATATGAGTTGTATTCATCATATTTCGTTTAAAGTAATGAAGGACTGGCAGTTGAATTTTCCCATAGTTATATGAGTAGGACTGACGTTTCCTTTGAATTTCACATAGCCTTGCTTTCTCAAAAGGTGTTCTCGTCCAGAGTGGACTGTAGTTTCGACTTCGCACCCCTAGCGGGAGGTAGGTGTGTACGTGTATATTTGTGCATTCCAGAGTACGAATCCACAAATCGTGAATCTGAGTATTGGAAGGAAGAGTAACACCAATTCAGGCTTGTTAGGCTTCGCTGGCGCAGAGCAAGGGCTGACGGCCATTTTGGAATGTCAAACAAATGACGGTCAAGTCGCTGAGTTGAGCAGGGGCGTAGAGTGATCCACAACCGAGAAAAGTGGAATATCTTCTTTGTTGTCAGCGTCAGTCTTGCCGAAGATAACATGGCGACTCGATATAAGTGTGCTGGCTAAACTGGATACATTACTCTTCTAAGCTATATGTCAGAGTGATTTTTGTCCTCTGTCCAAGTTTATTTGACGAATTTTAACATTATGTCAGCAATCTTTATAGACTTTTCTGATGCGAGCAAACAGAATATTTTGTAGATAATCTTCTTTCTTCCAACAAGCCTCTATGATGACTTGCATTGGCGATATCTGGAGACATTACTGGTTCTCCTGCCTTCCAGACTCCGCTATTTTCTTTTATACCTTTTGCATTTGTGGGATTGCCAGACTCAGAAAAGCTGCCACAGTCCCTTCTGGCCTTTTTTGTCTACACTCTCGTGAAGTGTGCCACCATGGCTTTTTCTTTCCAGTTGTCGGCTTTATCAGTCCCAATTACGCTGACGGCTATTCCCGGTTTAATTTTACTTTTTTCCCTTGTCAGCTTATCAGTGCTGAACTGACGGAGACGAAGAGGAATCTCCGCCTACTGGCCAAATCCAATGCCCATATTCCGCTCCGCCCTGCTCCCGAAGGCTGGGCATACGATTGACTCTTGGTTGCCCTCTTTAAAACCTCTTTCGTTTCTACTCATTCACCCAGACCGGGCCAGACTCACCATGGCTGCTCGTTGGTATCCCGACTCTTAGTCGGGGTTGAAGCTGTCTTTTTCTCTTCTAGCCATCATCTCCTTTGAATTATTCTTCTCTTTATTCCCACTGTCTGCATCATTGTCTATGCACAATAGTACATTTGACCTAGATCCCGATCTTTGATGAACTTATTTCTAAAACCTATTAATGCGTTATCGCCCTCTGCTCTTGTTCCCTCCCCCATGCTACATCTTTCACTTCAATCTCTCATATCAAATTCGTCCTTTTGTTGCACATGAATTGCTAACATGATTGCACGGCTGTATATTGCTGCCACTCATCTGCCAGAACAAGTGTAATAGCCCGGTGTTCCTGTGCACATCTGCTTCTCTTTCTTGTATAAACGGGAGACAATTTTTTGGTTAATCATCATTTTTCTTTTAACCTCCTTGCTTCTCTTCTCTTGGCCTGCTCAGTTCCTTCGGCTGACTGCCACTTGGCATTGATTTTTATGCTTCATTTTATTTCTGGAATGCAAGTTGCCTGATTAAAAGGGTCGAGTCTGCTGGGTAGGGGACGACGTAAGTCTCGTCTCTTCACTCTGGGGTGGGGCAATCTGTATATTCTACTTAACCCGCATGTACTTATGCAGATATGGCCTGTCTCTGATGAAGGAGATTACATACAAGAGTGGCCTAGTGCGAGGATATGGAGGAGTGGTCCACATGCTGAGTATGACATTTTAGGGGGCATGAGACTGTTCGCTCTATTCCCGGCTTCGCGCATTCCAACTCGGAAAGATGAGCCATGATAGAGGTCAAATGAATCAGCACCAAAGTCGACAATCCGAGTCTTGCCCATCTAGACACCGGAAAATGTCATACCTCGGTCGAGAATAGAGGTATCGCCAAACCCGATCCAAGTTTATGTAAGACCGTCTAAGTCTTCTGCTACCTAGTCGGCAACTCAACTGCTATCTTCATCTCAGCTTCTTATCGTCTGATCTGTTTGGAAAATTACCGCTTAATATGAAGAGAAGCTGGATTTCGAAGAATCCCTCAACAGATTGAGGCTGGCGTATATCTCATTTAGCCTGAGTGTGCGGATGGAAGGGTTTTTTAAATTGGCCCCACTCGACACAGAATTGTAACTTCTGGATTGTGCAAAGAGGACCCTGATGGACCTGTGCTCAACTTTCGTCCGTCATGTGAATGACATCATCAGGGCCAAAAACCATCATTTATGAAAAATTCACCAAAAACACTAGACCCAAAAAGTGGACATGATCACAAAAATTAATTTCTTGGCCTTGGTTTATAGTAACGAATTTCGAAGGCATTGGTCTTCATATGTACTTTTTACATGTGAGGTCTTGATTTAGTGCTTTTTGTGAATTTTTGGCCATATCCGTCACATGAAGGACGAAAGCTCATTACCAGTTTCGCTGGATGGTGAGTTGATACTTTCGCACATTATAGCAGTCATAACTCCTGTGTTCGGTGAGGCTAATTTACGGATCCCCTCCAATGTACGTCAGCATTAATTTGTAGTTTTATCCGATTCAAATAAAACCGAACCTATCAGCTTTTTTTATAGCTTCCTCCGTATTTTCAGGCAAAAATCGGTCTGAAGGGATTCGCCAATCTGCTTCACCGGAAACTAATAGAAGAATGCTTTGGAATCAGGTCTATCGAATTGTGCCAATAAGCCCTCGGCTCACCGATGAATCCGTGCTGATCTTTAATCTGTTCCACGGCACCAGACATCGTCTGGACAAGAAAGCGTAGATATAGATCAAGAGCAAAGATGGTCCGCTACAAACATACTCACTTTTGATGCTTAACTTTTGAATATTAATTAGGCATTATATTATCTGGAGTTGTAGCAAGGCTATTTTTTGAAGAATCCTCTGGAATAGTGTTGAAGTACCTTTCATTTCATTTAGAGACTATTAGAAGGGATTCGTAAGTTTGTTTTACCGGAAGTTGAAGGGGGTTGTCTTGGGGCTATGATTATGGATTTGATTTAAGATGCATTGAAATAATTGTGGAGAAGTGAAAAATGAAGATTCTTTCTCTGATTCTGGTCTTGTTCTAAAACGCTTCTAACAATGAAAGCAGAGTTACGCGTAGGATTCCCTGCTAGCACTTTGCATATATACCGTTTTCTTGCACATTTTATTTTATAAATTAGCTCGAGTCTATTTATACTGGTCATTAAGCAGAATATAAGAATTATTTATTTGTTTTTCTTTTCTAGAATCTATTTATGTAAATATTACAGCCAATTGGGATATCCTAACTTTGGGGAGGAGCATCAATACAGAGTAAACTCCTTGCAGGAGTATTATCTAGACAGAATATCTGTGATCTATCTGATTGAGAAAACCGTTTATTTTTAATAAGAGATATATTCACTTTGGGTCGCATAATGTGATGAAAGACTGATATTGGGCCTCACCATTCCAAAGATTTTTACCGAACTTTGCCTGCCAATAAACTTTTCTCTGGGACCCATGCATGTCAATTAGCATCATGTTGCCATCTGTACTTGGTACTTTTGCCACCAAAGTTGATTAGAACTCTTATTCTAGGAGTGTTGTTTGTGTCTCTACATCTTGGCAACTACGGACAAGTTGCTAAAAGGAGGTCTAAGTCTGCTTATACAGCTCTCT